TATATATATATATATATATAGCTGTTCCATGCTTATACACATTTCTCACTAATTTTTAAATGAGGAACAGGAAAAGGACATTGAAACATATTACTGTATCAAGTAATACTGGTTTTTAGTTGTTACACTTGAGCAATCTCTATTTGCTTTTTAGGTAATTGCTGAAAGTCTGTCTGAAGAGGAAATCGCAGGACTGAAGGAAATGTTCAAAATGATAGACACCGATAACAGTGGAAATATTACGCTAGAAGAACTGAAAAAGGGTTTGGAAAGAGTGGGTGCCGATCTGATGGATTCAGAAATAGTTAGCTTAATGCAAGCGGTAAGTGATACTTTTTATTATGTTCCAGAGCATGCTTATGTACATCATAGACAGCTTTAAATAGCATTGCAAATCATGTTGGTATATCAGATCTTCTTAAAAATAAACTGTCAGAAAAGATCCTTACTAAACAACCTTTCTGTGTTTGGATAATTCAGGCGGATATTGATAATAGTGGTACCATTGACTATGGCGAGTTTATAGCTGCTATGCTCCATTTAAACAAAATTCAGAAGGAAGATCACATGTATGCTGCTTTTTCATATTTTGATGAAGATGGTAGTGGATATATCACACAGGATGAGCTCCAAAAGGCTTGTGATAAGTTTGGTTTGAGCGATATCCCCATTGAAGAGCTTATGCGTGAAGTTGATCAAGATAATGTAAACCCTATTATTCTTATCTTCAGTGTTCCTTTTTCTAATATCTTGCAGATATGTAAATGTGCATTGTCAAACATAAAAGCATATATAAGATCATAACATTCATGTACCTATTTTCTTTTCCAGGACGGATACATCGATTACAGTGAATTTGTAGCAATGATGCAAGACACTGGCTTTGGTGAGAAGAGAAGCAAAAGAGTGTAAGCATTGGTATACCATAGGCCTTAAAGCCTGGTAAGCTTGATGTCACTGATTACACATAAACTGCTTGTGTATATCATCCACGTAGGTATGTGAAACAAGAAACTTCGATTGCATTATGCTGTAAAGATTAGTCAGGCATTGGTATTACATCCACAGGAGTATGTGAAACAAAAACATGGATTGCATTATGCTGTAAAGATTAGTCAGGCATCAGAGATGAAAGCGAACTTTTATGATCCTTCTTAGCTCTCCATTTTGTATCTTATATTTTTTGTTTCTTTCTGTGGAAAGAATCAATATTCATAAAATCAGCCCACTTAGATTTATGCTTGCTCATCCAGTTGATCACCTTCTTAGTGTGGATTGAGCAGAAACAGTTCAGACAGAACTTTATACCTCAAGCCCGGCTACTTTGGTTCAATATGTATCTTCAACAGAAGTTGTGGTACTGCTACTTGCTCACAAGGATTTTCTTTCCTCTACATGCAGCCATTTATAGGTCCCTCTTTTACCCACCTAGATGATTTTGGGGCAATAACTTAGCTTTCTTTCGTTTAGTAGTATGAATTATTCGTTTCTGTGGAGTTTAACTTTTGTTGCCAGCTAAAATTGGTCTGATGATGTGTAGTAGCTGTTCTTTTTTTAAAGATTCTGATTAGTTGGATTAGGTTCTGAACTGTACATATATAAGTCAGAAATAACATACCCTGTTTTAATTTCAATTTTCCTACTAGGTAGCTAAAAACACACATATAATGTGCATTCAATACTATTTCTTGTGAGTACCTCATTCTAGGGATCTTCTTGAGATTTAGACTTGATTGCTAGGTAACTTGCAGTCATGGTGATTTAATGTTCCTTTTGGAAGATTAACCTTTTGATAATGTACCAGAACAGATGCCAAGTGGACTGAAGGGTGTATTCTTATTGCTATTTAGTACCTCAGTAGTTGAGTAGTTTAGCTACATTTCATAATTGATTCTCATAGAAGAATAACGTTTGCATCAATGTGATATACAACATATACCTGGAAATTTTCTTTTGTTCTATAACTATGGATCTGATTGTTACCAGAATGTTATAGCAAATGATCCACAATAGACATTGAATAGATTTGCAAAATCAAAACAGCTTTTAGTATCTTATGACCTGAATTGGATCTCATTTCCGGCTCATTTACATAAGAAGATAAGAGGTAATAACCCATTGAAGTAAAAAATTTGGCACTAACCAATGCATTGCCCAACAAAATAAACCTGTGCCTTATATTAGATGTTTCTGGCAGAAGCCAATCACTTGACTGCCAAAGTATTGTCATATGATTTTTTTTTTTGAGAAGTTTGTCGTATGTTTATTTTTAGCTTAACGAGTAGATATTATGCTAGTGTCCTTAACCAACCGAGTAGTCTAAGAAGACCACTGTCCAGCACCTCTGATTTTTTCTCAAATCCTGTGACAGAAAAAAGAGGATATCAAAATCAGACACAGTTACTTTATGGTGATATGGATATAAACTAAACATAAGGTACATAAATTCCATATTGTTGAGCATATTGTATTAGATTATTGGATGTCAAATAAAACTTTTCATCAATAAACAAAGTAATAAGACCACTTATTGCCGATTGGCATATATTAAGTCGATACCTCCCTAGCGGGAACCTTTTGAAGGCCACAGAGCAAATTATAGTAGAGCTAGTGATATGTGTAATAAAAATATCGCGACAAATGCAATCAGGACTTTCAAGTTCTGAAAATTGAATATCTTGTCAAACCATGTTTACCTAAGTCAGCAGCAACTCGGTGAGCACACATTACTCCTGAAAAGGCAACAGCTATAACACCTTGTCCAGGAAAGCAACTATCGCCAACACAATATAGACCATCTATAGCCTGTAAGCTCAGAAACCATACGGAACAGTTTATTCTGTGCGCTTCTATTTACCAGTAGAGCAGTGAAGCAACTAGATACAGAAGGAATAATTAACTTACAGTGGTATTGAAAGGCATTCCAAGTAATCCCTTTGGAGTTCCGCGTGGCATTGGTCCATAGGTACCACTATCACGAGCAAGGTATCGTCTATGTGTCTTTGGTGTTCCCACCTACAAGAGTCCAATCATTATTATAAATGGATGAAGCCCCAAGGCACGAACTATTTTAGCAAGCATAAGATGCGTGTCGATTTGGTACTGAAGAAAGCTAATTATTGTTCACTATGACCAACTATTCAGTTCATAAAATCATGACTTGTACCTCTTTAAAGACGATAGATGACTTGAGCCCTGGGAAGAGTGTCTTTTCAAGTCTGCTTATAATTCTTTCAGCAACAAGCTCTTTCTTTGCTTCATAGTCTTTCAGAGAGAGTCCCTAGTAAGTAAAAACACCTCAACTTCAATTTCCATTTTTTAAAAAAAAACGATGACAAAGATACACAAGAGGTTACTTTCGACACTGAAGGCATATAGTAATTTTACCTCCCAATCTTCTATGCTTGACGTTGTAAAAATGTGAAGAATATGGTGTCCTTCTGGGGCCAATGATGAATCAAGAACTGTAGGAATGCTCAAGAATATACTTCCATATGGTTTCTCCAAATTTGTCCAATTATCCTGTAAAATCAAGGGATTGTGAATGTGAGCTTTAAACAGGAAAAAATAAACAACAAACCCATTGAAGTGCCAATAGTACCTCAAGGGTAAAATGGTGGCAATCAGTGTCTGGCGGAAGAACATCTGCTTTAACGCCCAAGTGAATAGAAAGAAAGGAAGGTGCTTTTACATAAGCTTTCTGGAAAGCTTCTTCTTCTTTTGGCAGATTCTCGGCTTTTAAAAGCTTTCCTACAATGTACGACACTTGACATGAGAAGACAAGATTTGAAGAGAATCAAATGTGTGCAAGAAAACCGCAGTACTGGCTCTAAGACAAAAGAATCTTAAGAAAACACATGAATTATGCTGGCTTCCTGGAAAACTAACCAAAAGTATCCCATCTGGTGGCATTTGATACTATGGTTTTAGCGTAAAACTTCCTTCCATTGGAAAGCTTCACTCCCACCTAAAAGAAAAAGAAGAGTTTGAGAAAATGGCCTGGCATGCACACTGGCGAACACAACATTGACAAATGCGAAACAAGACATGATTAGGACATTGAAAAATACAATTTCATTATATTGTTACGTAATTTGGTCATGTATGTATAAATACGTAGACACTTTCTGTATAATAATTTCAGGGGCGTAACTGACATCCAACTAAAGGGGATGTAGGACCTACCCAAATGATAAGTAAAATATCACAATATATATCAGTTACAATCAAGTATAGAAACGTATAACATTTTAACATACAGATGTTTGGTCTTCCCTCTTCCTTCGTTGTCGTCACACTTTTCATCTTTTACTATATACTACTACCCAATTTTAAAAATATTTTAACATCCTAACATGCTAATATTACCTTAAATCTTAAAACGGCTCGTCTAGATGCAGTTAGGCATACCGAGGACCTATATAGGACAAGTGTTTTTGATGGTCAAACAGTGGAAAGACGATTTGACGATAGTTAAAAGTGTGTGTGACATGTGTTACTGTATGTCTAACAGAGTGTCGGCAAAGACATGTCCAATACGAACACCAGAACAACAGTTTTGCATATCACAATAGGAATAATCACTCTAAACAATAATTTCACAATGGTTCTAGGACCAAGACTCACAGTGGAAAGACGATTTGACAATAGTTAAAAGTGTGTGTGACATGTGTCACTGTATGTCTAACAGAGTGTCGGCAAAGACATGTCCAATACGAACACCAGAACAACAGTTTTGCATATCACAATAGGAATAAACACTCTTAACAATAATTTCACAATGGTTATAGGACCAAGACTCACAGCTTTGCCGTTGTCCAAAATGATACTTGTGACATTTGCCCTATAAAGTATCTGACTTCCCTGATTAACCAAGCCTTTTGCTAAGGATTTGGCAATCTCGCCAACTCCACCCACGGGATAGTTGATTCCTCCAAAATGTCTGTCACATAGAACCTGCAGAAAGCAACTCATGAGAAAATGGATATCAATAAACACAAGAAGGCCTAAGGTTAAATGCAGAATTACCATGCTTGCATTGATCATTGGTGTTTGTAATGCATTAACTGTGCTCACAATAAAACACTGCAAAAGAGAAAATATAGTTGAATTCTTCAAAAGGTAAAGAAATCATCAAAACTTTTAGTAAGTTGTACAGATTATTTGCCTCACCTCTGCATCTATGAAGGCCAGCAACCCGGGATCTTTTATATACTTCCGAGCAATGTCACCAGCATTCTGGGGCAAATAGTAGGCTGTGATGAATAACATTGGCATAAATTAAGATTCAATAGAAGGATATTCAATCATTCTGTGCTGCACAAATGTCAGCATGAAAAAATGACCCTATAATTGGAGAGTTATTCTTAAATTAGTCCGCAAGATGGATATTGGCAAATGCCAATAATGACAGGAAGAACCTATCATAAGTAGAACGCTTTTGGGTATTAACACATCTATGAAGGAATTTTCCATGATTTATGAGCCATCAGTCGGACTGCAAATTTAAGTAAATGCACTACAAAAATTTAAAGCATGTAAATCAGAACTGTTAAACACAAGAAGGGTGATTTGATAGCATAAGATCTCATTATCTTTATGCAAAAGGATACCAAGTTAATTGGCGTTATACAGTGGAACGAAGTCTGTGTTTGATCAGCGAAAATGACAAAAGCCACCTAAGATGGGAAATGTTACAATCTTTGGTCATGAATTTCTTGATTATTGAGAAAAAGGTCAGAGTAAAAAATCAGAGTAATCTGTATTCAGAACTGTATTAAATTTTGGCAACTACTGAGTTCTACAAGCTTTTTCAACACTATCACTTGAACATATGTTTAATTATGCAACTACAGTTATCGTGCGAGATACAGCATCTCTCTGGACTTGTCCTGCTATTAATTTAAATTTGTATACCAATAAAAGGACATGAAACAAAGTCAATTTGAAACAACTCTCTGCATCCATTTCTAGCATTGCGGGAGCTTAGTGCACTAGACTGCCTCTTTTACCCATTTCTAGCACTAGGACTGAAGGCACAGCTAAAGAAATATAACATTTGAAGTTAAAAGGAAAAGAGAAAAGAAATTACCGAGAGTCAAGCATTCGAGGGGCTTCTTAAAAAACTGGCCAAAAAGGTAGATGGGTTCCTCCAAAGACTTCA